AAATTGTAATTGTAATTAAAAAAACAGCTACTTTTTAACTATAACTACTTAGTAATGCATAATTTTATTACAATTGCATACTACACTTAGAATTACAATTATGATCATTGATTTCACTAGGTTAAGTAATTCCAATTATTATCAGAGACAATTACTTTCCTAATTACATAGTTATAATTACCTACTGCAATTGCAGTTAAAATTATGTTGTTTAGCAATTAATAAAAATAATTTGCATTACAGTTTTATTGTAGTTGTGATTAGATGCAATAATAATTAGATTATATAATTATAATGTTTGTGATTATCATTGCATTGTAATTGTAAGACTTAAGAATTAAAAATGCAATTACATACATTATTGTTGCATTTAAAAAGTACTTACTTTTCTAACTGTAATTGCAAAGTAATTGCGAAGCTAATTACAATAGCAATATAATTGAAATCACATATTTCAAAATATTGTTGCAGTTTCTTGCAATTTTAATTTTAATTCCAATTACATTTTGCCAAACTGCATCTAAAATTTGGAGAATAATTAGGCTGGAAAATGAAAATTCTCTTTACGAACACATTTAAGTTTACTGTAGCTGGTATAAGCACAGAACAGCTGGAAGTTTTGAACGAGCTATTTATTCCGAGTTGTTATTGAAAACCTAACGATAAAACCCATTTGCCCCTAGCGAATAGATAGTTTTCTCTCCTCAATTACCTCCCGCAGAGAAAAATTATCACCTGTCAGTTTACATTAAGAGCAGAGAGGGGAGGGCACTCTGAGACAGGCCGTATATATGCTGCTTTGCCGTTTCGTGCCAAAATTTAAGTTTACGTATCTGTGCTGCCTTGCCGCTATGAGGACCAAAATATTTGGATGCATATATGCTGCCTTGCCGTTATGAGAGCCATTATTTTCAAACGCATATATACGGCCTGGAGTGTTAAAATGGATCATGTCATGAAGATGGTCAACAAAACAGTGAAACTTTACGAAGTTGAAGGGGCTGAATCATCTGTTTCAACAATTTCTCAAATCTTTGGTTTCAGAGTATAATGGAATCATATTCTATGTAGAAGTAAGATAGTTAAACCATGCCAAACTATTAAAAAGCCTGTTTGATTTGAAGCAAGTTAAAAATTATCTCAGAATTTGAAGATGAGGTGTCGGTTTGTGACTTTCCAATTCTGGTTGATATAATAAGCTACCTAAATGATATTAATACTGGTCTACAAAGGAAATAAATTATTATCATGTTTGATATAGTTTCAGCATTTTTGGGCCTAAGATTTGGGGAATAACAGATAAAGACAAAAGTTTTCACTCACTTTCCTATATTGTTATAGCAGCTAGACGTCACACAACTGGCTGCAGATAAATAGGCTTTGGTGATACCCAACTTGAACCTTGAATTCGAAAACTGATTTAGAGATTTTAAAAAGCATCATGTACATGCTGATTGGTGTTGCAAGTTTTATCATCTACAAAACTTGTCAAACCACATTTGCATGTCATGTTTTGTAGCTGTGGTTCTATTTTTTCTTTTCTTTTTTGGTAACTGAGTGTATTTTGATGGACATATCTAGATCTGTTGACTAACAGATAAGCATTAATTACTCAAATTCATTAGAAATCGGACTAAAAAGACATGGTAGTATGACGTTTTATGTGTAACAGTTTTTGTATTTTTAATCTTAAATGCCAAAGCCTATGAGATAGTATTGTTGTGTGCTACATGTTCGTGGATTTGGAGCAACTGATGACAACACTTGATGAAGAATCAAACACACAGTTTATTTGTCAGAATTACACAGGAGAGTTCCAAAGACACGTTTACTGCCGTTAAAAAGCTAAGATAAACACGCTGAAACAATCAGCAACACAGCTTTCAGGCTGTCACGGTAAAGAGAGCTTCACAGCAAAGGACTACTATTATTAGCTTCAGTGTGATCTCCCGACTCAGTCGATCGCACTCGAGCTAATCTCTCAAGCTCATATCTTATTGTACTCGAGCTAATCTCTGAAGTCAAAGCACTACTACTAAACGCAACATACTCAATACACTCTTCACAATAAACTGCTACTCCACGTACAAGCAGAGTACTTATAGCTTTCATGCTACTTTGGTAGACGGTTGCACGGATTTTTGGAGATTTACGTTGGCACGGTTTTTACAATCGTCAGCCATCTTGAAAAAATGCTGTTTTTACATATTTTACGCATAGTAAAGTATTCGAAACTTTAAAAAAATTAATATAGTTAAAAATAATGGATTAATTTTTTGTTGAAAATGTCGTTTTTTACGATGGATGGCAAATGTAAATAAATACATTTACTATGAGTATAAAATACTAAAGTTAAATTATTACTCTCATATAGCAAAGAAATAGAATAAAAACACTGCTATAAAAACATTGCGCTAATGTTTAATTTGATTAAAATATTATTTAAATTGAATATCAAATTAAAAACATCATACCAACATTTAAAAGAATTATTTCACTTGATTTTAAAGCCTTTCAAATAAGTTTTATAGGATGTAATTATTTAACATTAAAACATATGTCGCACTAAATATCTCGGCAATTTTTGAAAACAGTGTATTAATTTTTTAAATAAAAATTAAAGTATACAATTATAAAGTAAAAGAAAATATGTACTTAAATTTTTTGAGTATTTAACTTGTCGTATATTGATAAGCACCACAAAAAAATCAGAATCATAATTCAGATATCAATGAAAAAAATTTGAAAAATGTAATCTAAGGAATTTGAAGAGATGAATAATAAAATTTTAAAATGGTACGGTAATGCACAAATATTCTGTAACCAATCACAAATAGAATTAAAATTATTTAAATAAACATATATAATAAAATCATTTAAAAAATTCAAAATTAAATTGTATTTTAATATTTAAGAGCCATAAATAATGTTTAAAACTTTAGATTAAATTTATAGATATTAAAACCAATTACTTTTAAAGTAATGCGACGTCATTCATTACATCATCCACAACATAAAATTACATAAACAATAAAATTTTTATTTCAAGTAAAAATGCAAAATTAAATTGATTTTTAATATTTAGAAGCCATAAATAATATTTAAAACACGAAATTTATGCATAATAAAACGCATTATTTTTAAAATAAAATGACAACAAAGTATTGGTTACTATAAATAACTTGTCTAGCAATGAGTTTAACATTAGTCGTATCGCTCGGGGGAAGAAAAAAAAAAAATTGCCAAAATCCATGCAACCGTCTACCAAAGTAGCACCATAACTTTTGGCCTGTCTTCGAGAACATTCTCAGGAAAACCAATAAGAATTCATTCTAGAATGTTCTCGCTCCGTCTATGCCATATCGCCAAACGAGCGATTTTGCATCAAATATGGCAACTCTAAATGCACTTTAAGGGGAAGCTATCTTACCACAGCTGGGCATTTTGCAACAGTATGCACAGCATTATGCTACCCAATCAGTACTGATAATTTGAAAGCCAAATGCTTTGAGAAAATAGGGAAGAATGAACTTGATTGGTTAGACCCTATTCCTGATCTCAATTTTAAACATCTTTGTAATGGTTTATGGTGCAAGTTGAAAGCCAGACCAAACTGCCCAGAACTATTCATCATATTCCAAGAGCGATGGAAGAAAAACTTTGAGACATCCACTGAAATTTGCTGAAGCGTTTTCTATGAAAGATAATGGCTGTGCTAGATGCAAAGGTAAAAATATATTTACAGGTATCCCTTGTCGAAAATTGGCAGTACATGGATACTGAGTTTGTGCAATTCTTTGACTTGTTATTTTGGCTTGTGTAGCGCCGATTTTCGGCAAAAAAATCACAGCTACACAGCCAAACCGATAACAAGACAAAGAATTGCAACAAACTCGCTATCCATGTAAACGTTCGACCTATTTTCACTTAAAAAAGCATCCCAGAACTTGCACCAACCTTGGCATTGTGCATACTCCCTTGACTTTATCCACGTGCACATCGACCTATTTTCACTTGAAAAAAAAACATCAGAGAATTGCACAAACTAGGCATTGTGCAATGCCTTGACTTTGTCCAAGTACACATCAAACTATATTCACCTTAAAAAGTCAAAGAAGCAGCCAACAAAAAATATATATAATCTCAATAAACTACATTTTAAATCGAAACAATGAAATAACATAAAAAAGGAAATGCATCTTATTGCACTATATACACTGCAAAAAGGAAATATCCCACTTACCATTATTTAGCAATTTCTGAACTAACTTCAGTCTGTCTTCAGTTACAAACGAATCCTTCCTTAACAGCATCCAAAAACCTTTCCTAAAATTATCTGAACTAGGAAATATGTATACTGACATTGCCACATAAATTCACAAAATAAGAGTAAAAAATATCTTCTGTAGCGCCGTTATTGTCCAGCTATATGCATTTCCTTCCTACAAACAGGATACTTAATAAAGGCTACTAAGTAAACACCGGTCAAGTAATACTCTTTCCCCCTTCTTAATCATACGGAAACTTCAAATTAATCTTACCACATTCAGCCATTTTACTGTCTAAACCACAAAACAAGCAATATACTTCCTAACCAACATACACACACAAGCTCTTACGAATTTACCGCAATCATGCAACCGATTACGTCATAATAGGGTTTCCATAACATTCAACTACTCAGGCTACCATAAATGAAACAACTTCACGATAATACAAGGGATACCTTTCTCTCTACTCTAACTGATGCAAATGACAGACTTATATCATGCTGATACCACAGTAGTTATAGTTAAGTAATTTACTATGGGTATCCAATCATTAATGGCAACACCGAATAGTTTTCCTATTAACAATTAGCAACAAAATAAGATTTAGAAAATATTTCATTGTAATCAATTTAACACTAAGAAATTATAGATAAAGGAAAATTTCAGTTGATTAATTAATTCTAATGCATATAATTTTCAACTTCAATTTTTTTATAAAAACAAACTTACACTTCATATTGTGGTTTCCAATATCTCACATATCTATGAAATTTTGCTACATCACGGGTATTCTTTTCCATTTTTCACTATTTAGACTACTGTTTTGCTCTACTACAGGAAAAAGGAAATATTAAATTATATTTATGCTATATATTATCAACTGAACAATTATAAAATTAACAATATTGCAATACATAAAATAATAATTACAATATTTATGTTAAAAAAGAATAGCAATTATTATAATAAAATTTTTATTTCAAACTATTTTTTAAAATTTTAAAATAAAATACAAAATAAAGATAGTACCTCTTAAATCTGATAACCTTGGGATCATGTTATTGCAAAATGGCAGAAAACAGAAATCAGTACCTTAAAGGAACAATGTCTATGCATTAGTAAGCATATACAGTCAAAAGTCGTTAATTCGGACCTCAAAGCTACAAACTTTCTGCTCATGCGCCGCGTTGACGCATGCACGTAAGACTTTTACGTCTGCGAATATGCGTGTGCGCATGCGCGTAATACGTTTACGCTTGCATGTTTAATGTATAACGGACGGTATAAGCTAAGCTAAAATTATCTAATTCAGTTAATGTTGCAGATTGCGTTGTTCCTTAATCTTCGATTTGGATCCGGCTTATTACTTTTTGCAGACTGTTAGAGTAATTTTATAAAAGTAAGTTTGAACTTTCGATTATGTCAAAGCGAAAGTATGTTTAGAAGTCCATTAAACAAAAAGTGGAATTCCTGCAAAAAATGGATAAAGGCATATCCTTCATTTCTCAAACCATACCGAAATCTGTTTATCAATTTCACGCTGCTCTGCAGCCCGGGGGGGGGGGGGGGGAAGAAACGCTGCCACGCAATGAATTGGAAGTTAATCTGTCAGCACTATCCTTATCTTCAGGGCAGATGTTTTTATTTTATTTGGCTTATAATTCCTTACTGAATGTAGTATTTCTTCTCGATGTACTTCGTCTTTGATATGATTTAAATCAAATCCTCATCATTATAATTCGCTTCCGATAGTGAAGAGGTTATTGAAAACGAAAAAATTTCGATTGACAAATTAGTAGGTATTCTCGACACAACAATTGGACTTGAACAGCGGAACTTTGAAACTGAAGAAGAAATAATGTCTGTTTATAGAATTAAAGAAAAAGTATTATCACATAAAACAAAGCAACTTAAACAACTTATATTGAAAGAAATGCTTAATAAAGTAAACAAATAAATATTAAGCTTTTTTTTGTAAATTTTGATACCCTTTAGATCATAATTGTTCTTTATTTTGTAAATTACGGTTTCATATTTTTAATTTTTAATTTCTGCATGCCTCTTACCAGATTAAAACTGATGATCTATAATCCGGAAAAATCGATTATCCGGAATCGCCGAAGTCCTGACGAGTTCGGATTAACGACTTTTGACTGTACTAGTACTTGACTTCTAGACTTGCTAGTTTATCTGCAAAATGATGGTAAAAACTTCAAACTTTCCTTTTAGTCATACTGTAAGAATTCAATTTTACAGCATTCAAACTCTTTATAGTGTTGTCCCAGTATTTAACTTTTTCAAGAGCTTTTACATTTTTAAGAATAATTAATGTTTCATACCTGCATTTATGAGCACTAATATTTTTTGCCTTTTATTTGAAATTCTAACGCACTTTGCTGAATGAGAGAACTTAGCAAGACTACACTATGTTAAAATGTTTAATTAGGATGTGAAAGGATTCTGAGTGCTGTTATTTTTATAGTTGATCAATAAACTGGTGGCAGCAAAATTAAATGCTCTAGATCAGTGGTTCTTAACCGGGGGTTCGGGAATGTATTTTTGGGGGTGCGGGAGAAGCTCCTACATGATCATAAAAATTATTAAATATCATTTATTAAATTTCTTATAATAAAATATTTGAAATCTGCAATAGTGTCCCTAATATTAAAGCTCATAAAATTGGTAGCACCTAGCTCACTTATCGGCAAAAGACTCAGGAAAGAGCCGGTGCCGATGGGCATATACACTATGCTACGAAAAGGCATGAAACGCTACATACGAACGCGAACAGGCAGCTAAGTGACAGAGAAAAGAAAAAAAACTTTGTGGGAATACAAGCGGAGAATGTTATCCCAGCTTGCGCATGCGCTGAGTTCAATATGTGCTACTCCAATGGAAACTACGGATTCACAGATTTGTATCTGCATCTACTGCGCCCCTGTTAGGTTGAGTCAACTATTGTGTTTGTGACGTGTGCATTGTGTATTCTGATTTGTCCAGGAACTGCTCTGGCGACTAATACATTGTTAATTGCTCGTTCAAGCCGAATAGGATTCAGTGATATTACAAACGTAAGAACATTATATATATATTATATTGCATTATTTCTAAATAATTAAATCGATTATAGTGAACCCCACTATGTAAAAAAAAAAAAAAAAAAAAAAAAACGACAATGGAACGATAAGTATGCCGGTTATGGATTTACCTGCACAACCGAAAAAGATGGCACACAACGACCGCAATGAATCTTGTGTTTCCAAGATATTTTCAAACAGCAATCTCAAACCATCAAAGTTATTAGAGCATTTCGAACAATCTGCATAGGTGGCGAAAAAGCGCATAGCATGAACAGCTTGAAGTCAAAGAAGGCTCGGTTTGATACCAGTGGAAATATCCTAAAATTGTGCGGACGTCATATCAAGTGGCATATTTATGTGAAGCGTCATATCCTTTATTAGAAGCGTCATATCAAGTGGCATATTTATGTGCAAAAAAAAAAAAGAAAACCCTCACACGATTGCTGAAGAGTTGATATTAAACCTTCTGCTTTAATTATTGCTAAAACAGTTTTAGATTCAGAAGCACATAAAAAAATCCAACAGATTCTATTATCGAATGATATTATATACGATCGCGAATACAAGATCTCAGTGAAGATATTTTAATGCAAGTAATTGAAGACATACAAATCAGTCCACTAAAAATACGCATGCAACTGTACGAGTCATCTGATGTTGATAATCATAGCCAACTTTTGGTATTTGTCAGGTATGTGAAGGAAAAAGAGGTGATAGAAGAATTTCTATTTTGTGAGCCACTGGAGGTGAATACAAAAGGAATTGATGTTTTCAATCGCATCAAAGATTTTTTTACTAAATATCAACTACCAATGAATGTGATTAGTTCAATATGCACTGATGAAGCCCGAGCAATGTTTGGCAAAAATTCAGGATTTTTTCACACATGCACATGAAAAGAGAATTACCGGAAGTTATAATAACGCATTGCATGTTGCAGCATCATGCACTGGTGTCGAAAGTATTGCCAGAAAGTTTAAAACAACATCTAACTACAGCAGTAAATGTAGTAAAATACATCCGAGGGCGAGCGCTTAATCATCGCATTTTTCGTGCATTTTGCGAAGAAATCGGTGCTGATCATACCGTGCTCCTATATCACACCGAAATACGATGGTTATCTACGGGTGGCATGCTTAACAGAGTTTTTGAATTGCGTGAGGAAATTATTCAATTACTGACTAGTCAAAACTGTTATTTAGTAAAAGATTTTGAGAGTAATGATGCAATGCTGAGGCTGGCCTACTTAGCAGACATATTTAGCCATTTAAATGAATTGAATCTATCAATGCAAGGATTTGGTATAAATATAATAATATGTAGTGAAAAATTATCTTCATTTATCGCAAAATTAGAAATTTTGATACGTCGAGTAGAAAAGGGGAATTTTGCAGACTTTCCCCTGCTTGATTCTCTTATTGCGAAAAATGAAAAGAATACAATTATACCCGACATTGTAATACATTTGAGACGATTGAGCGAATCATTCAATGGATATTTTTCTACCGGAAGTGTTACCAAAACTCAGAGATGGATACTGGAACCATTTCTATTTGACTTAAATTTGATGGATGAGAGTGATCTGAAAAAAGATCAACTTGTCGAAATGCGAGCAAGTGGACATGTTCAAATGGATTTCGAACAATTAGAATTGCAACAATTCTGGTGTTCACAGTTACAACGTTATCCAGAGTTGGTGAACGGAGCACTGCAGTTACTCTTACCCTTTGCTACCACCCTACTTGTGCGAAATGGGAATTTCATTCGCTTTTGCATATAAAAACTAAAGCGTGAAATCGCTTAAATGCAAGTGATGACTTACGCGTATGTCTTTCAAAAAAGGAACCTCGCTTCGCCAGCATAATAATGCACAAACAACAGACTAGTCTAATCACTAATAAAAATAATATTGTTTTGTATTTATATATAAATGTACAATGTTTTTCAATAAACAACAAAGTTTTGCAAAAAATGTATTTTCCTAGACCAAAAAAATTAAAACACATTTTTCAATGGGTTGCGGAGATATATTTTCAGATTCAATGGGGTGCGACTCGCTAGAAAGGTTAAGAAACACTGCTCTAGATCATAACTGCAGGATTGCGGAACACTTCAGTAAATACGGGCAGCTTGTATTGTCATTAAAAAGTTACCTTTTATTGAATATTAAAATTTTAAGTGCATGAACAATTGACAGTATGATTATTAGATTGCAGTGGAAATTCTAGCATCTCATTAAAAATGTCAAATTAAATATATCAGCTTTCAGTTAGCAATCCATTCTTAATCTAGTATTCATGCATTATGCAACCAAAGAGTCACTACATTATGCCTAATATACATTGAGTAATCTATTACTTATATTAAATAATTCAGAAACTTGTAATAATCTAGTTTACAATCCACTAAAACAGTTAATGCTTTCTTCGGTACTTTTCCGTTTCGCAAATCTCGCCAAGCAGACTGTTGGCGACAACATACAGTATACACATAAAAAATTTTAGTTCTAAGAATTTTTTATTTTGAAGGCATAAACATATTAATATGATTTAAAATTTTGTAAAAAGACATTAAGAATTTACTATGCTTTCATGGTTCAACATCCTAATTCGCCGGTTCGTGTCACGTGACCCAAAGTGATCCCATCTCAAGTAACTGCACTACAAAAATAGAATTCTCTCAGTAATTATCTACATTAATTTCAAGTTAAATCTTAATTTGGAATACAAGTTTAAGTGCAAGAATCATTTC